AATGCTGGTCAGCTGTGCCTGAATTCCAACGGTTGGAAGGTATAATGAGGCATGTCTGACCACCCCTTCCCATCACAGCCTGAGCTGCTGTTTCAGGTTTACTTTAGAATGCCCTTGGTCAAGAGAAGGAGTCCATTCAGTTGGCTGGGGGGCTTAGAATTGTATTTTTGGTTTACGTTTGGAGGGAAAGGATCAATAACCAATGAATTCTCAGAACCAAATTAATGACAGTCACAATCCAAAGAAGGAATTCTTACATGTGTTTTTCTCCTGTTACTATAAGTTTGGAAAGGAAAATACAAACTTTTACCCCTTCATTTGATTGGTCCCTGCAGACAGAATCCTCAAACCCATTTTCCTTTAGCAAGAGCGTTACGAAAGCCAAGGTTCTGAATGCCCCTTTGAGTTACTGATCCTTGAGTACTCCAATGTGTTACATGCACCACGCACACATTAGTAAACTTGTTTGCTTTTCTGCTGTTAATCTGTCTTTGGGCAGTCTAATTTACAGGGCCCCAGGTGGAGAACCTAAGGCGAATGAGGGAAGACTATTTCCCTCCCTCAGACAAGCAATCAGAAGCTCTCTCTGAGTCTTCTCCAAACAGCCAGGAAGGGTTTGTATTTACAGATCAGCATAATAAAGGAGTGGTTAGGGCTTTAGTGGGGATGTATGGGAGGCTGTGATAAGGCTTTATATGATTTCTCATCCTGGTACTAATAGTCATTCTCCTTTCTGTTTGGAAGCTCCCTGGAAGGGGAATTATTGTGGCTCAATTGTCACATCTAGGTGCTGAGGGTTAGCCTTCTTTCTTCTAATTGGTGGCTGAATTCTCAGAAAGCTCTGCTAAAATAAGGGAAGTTTAGAGATGCCCTTTTCTCCCTCAGCTGCTGTGTGTTTAGATGTTCTCAGTTTAAAGTAATCTTTACGCCATTCTGGTCGTTGGTCTCTTCAGCATCTCATGTCATGTTTGCAGGAAGGTGGTGGGAGCTGCTGAGCTTTTGGAGCAGGTAGTAGCAGGGGTGATAGGGTTTGGCTCTGTGTCCCCACTGAATTCTCACCTTGAATTGTAATCCCCATAATCCCCACATGTCAAGGGCGGGACTAGGTAGAGGTAATTGAATCATGGGGGTGGTTTCCCCCATGCTATTCTGGTGATAATGAGTGAGTTATCATGAAATCTGATGGTTTTATAAGTGTCTGGCATCTCCCCTGCTTGCACTCACTCCATCCTGCTGCTCTGTGGAGACGGTGCCTGCTTCTATTTTGGTTTCCACCATGATTGTAAGTTTCCTGAGGCCTCCCCAGTCATGCGGAACTGTGAGTCAATTAAATTTCTTTGCTTTATAAATTACCCAGTCTTAGGTACTTCTTCATGGCAGCATGAAAAAGAACTAATTCAGGTGGTTTCCTTTTCCTTGTGGCTCTCTCTTTTGGTGGGGGAAATCGCTCCCTGAAGGCAGGCATCAGAACAACCTGGAGAGCTTTATAATGCCATAGAGTCTCAGGGACTTGTTCTGGAGATCAGAGTGGGTCTGGGATATCACCGTGTTGGGAAACATGCGGGGAGGGGTCTGGTATCTCAATTATAAAAGCATCAGTTAGATCTGGGATATGCTCCAGGAGGGAGGACGCAAGCACCGTGTCTTTGAGCAATCTTTGCACACAGCTCCTGGGTATCATTTGCATGGTGTCACCTCTCAGAATATTTAAACATTATGGAGTTTGTTTACTCAGATTGCAAATTCATTCTGTAGTCCCAGTGCTTAGCCAGTTTTACCCAAGTTTATGGGTACCTGCTTGTGTGTACTTGTGTCTGGATGTAAGTAAGCTGTTATTTAGCTTGTTGGTCCTCATAGTTAAAAATAAGGTTTTAAAATCATTCTATCACCAACAGGGCCATTACATCAGTAAGATGATAATTTCAGAAGCAAAGGACACTTTGTCAGAGGTGTGTGAACCAGAGCAACTCCATGTTAAAGAGGAGCTGGGTAAAATGGGGCTGAAGCCTACTGGGCTGCATTCCCAGATGGTGAAGGCATTCTAAGTCACAGGATGAGATCGGAGGTCATCACAAAGTACAGGTCATAAGGACCTTGCTGATAAAACAGGTTGCAGTAAAGGAGCTGGCCAAAACCTACCAAAACCAAGATGGTTACAGGAGTGACCTCTGGTCACCTTCACTGCTATACTCCCACCAGAGCCATGAAAGTTTACAAATGCCATGGCAACGTCAGGAAGTTACCCTGTATGGTCTAAAAAGGGGAGGCATGAATAATCCACCCCTCGTTTAGCATATCATCAAGAAATATCCATAAAAATGGGCAATCAGCAGTTCTTGGGGCTGCTCTGTCAACCATGTAGCCATTCTTTTATTCCTTTACTTTCTTAATAAACTTCCTTTCACTTTGCACTGCTGACTTGCCCTGAATTCTTTCTTGTGTGAGATCCAGGAACCCTCTCTTGGTGTCTGGATCCAGACCCCTTTCCTGGTCCCTACAGACAGAAGCCTCAAATCCCTTCTCCTTTAACGAGAGGGTTAAGGTGACTTAGCATTCAGTTTCAGGTGACGTTTTAGTATGATTAATAGGGGCTCTTTGGGCAAATGTGCGTTTTGTGGATTTTGAGAGGAAAAGACAGGTGATGGGAAGGTGCCAGCACACGCAGACACTGAGGATATTGAGCAGAAATGTGATGCTGACGTGGAGCGACTCTGGCCTGAGAGACAGAATTTGATTCTAGGACCACGGAGTAGCTGCACAGTTCTGCAGGCCCTAGCCATGTCACCAAGATCGCCTCTGCCTGAGTCTCAGTTTTCTCCTCTACAAAATGATCATCACACTTTTTACTTTCCATAAGATAATGGGTGCAAATATGTTGAATAAACTGTGAAAAGAAATTCTTTGTGATTCCCAAATACACAGATGAACAGAAAAGGGGTCAGGTGAATCAGATGGAGGGGTCAGCCTCTTAATGGGGGACTGCTTTTCTGTCTGTCTTTCAAACAATAGACATGATTCTACTCATGCCCTCATGGGCTCAGCCTACGGTGCAGGGAAACTGGGCCCTCGTTAGCAGGTAAGTTCTCATTATATTCCATGCTTTGCTTGGAGCCAGGACATTGTTTTATATTATTTCATGCACCAATCTGTTACAGGTAACCTTTCCTTGCAAAATGTGTATGTGAAGTGAGATAAACTTTTCTAAATATTTCCAGGGAGGGAAATCATTCAGACTATTTACTCCTTATGTTTGGTATAACTTATAAAGGAACTGAGTGATAGAAATGTAAAATTAGTCTGTTCTTTGGATAGTAGAAATCTATAAGAAACACAGAGCAGTCTATTCAAGTCCGCCTTTGGGGAATCATAGATCAAGATGCAGTGGTCAAATGTGAATTGCTTCATCTGAAAATGACACAACCATTTTAGTATGATATGGGCTGGCAGCTGTGTCTTATAAGCCTGGGTTTAAGAATATTTACAACCCAGTGGCTCTAGAGTCTTGAGGGATTTTACTTCCTTTCTACTCCACAGTTGTTGGTTTTTCTGACATTGATTTCTGTAGCTGCATTCAGCTTTACCCAGCAGAGATGGAACATAGTTTCACAAATTTTAGTTGGAAGATGCATTTCTAGATTTTATTTTGTTTGTATTATTGTGAGGAGCTTCTGACAAGTGCCAACCCAGTGAAACAGCTAATTTATCTGCGATCTATTGAGTACATTGATATCAGGAGAAGCGAGAGGGATTTTAGAAATTTCTTTGGTTTGTTTGCTTACATTTCCAGTCCTTACCTGGACTGAAAGTGTTGGGGAAGACCTGAAAATCCACAGCTCAGTGGAGAAAGTGGAGAGGCAGACAGCATTGCTTTGCAGAGACACCTCCCTGTTTCCTGACTTCTGATATTTACAAATCCTTATGTTTAAACAATCTCAAGGACAACTTTTCGGGGAGTGCATCTCTAATTGTTCTAACTGTAGGTGGAAGCGAGTGAAGCCTGCTAACTTCGTTTTGTATTTCACCCTGTAAGTACATTTACTTTCAAATCACTGTGTGTGTTTACGATTCTAAAATTAATCATATGTTGAAACCTCTTCTAATTCCTTAGCTGCTTTTGGCTGTAAAACTTGCTGATATTTGGAATAGATGATTTTCCAGCACGTATTTACCTCCCACTTTGGAATCCTAAGTACATCAGGGAGGCTCTCCGAGTAAAAACATGAGACTCAGGAACACAGTCTTTATGAATGGAGCCCCCTCTCAACAATTTTTTGGAATGTGGAAGCTGAAAGATGTCTAACTGTCAGGAGCAAGGCGAGGAGCCTCATGCTTTATGTACTTTGGTGTCTGCGTAAGTGATGTTAAATCAGAGAGCACAGCCTTCAAAGCCATCTCACACTTCTGCTACAGAGGCAATGGTGCTCACTAGAATGTCTGGGCTTGCACGGAGGCCAACCAGCCTCAACCTTCCAGGTCTCCTAATTACAGGTGGAAGAGAGGAAAGCAAATATAATAAGGATTCCTTTCCTGGGCAGTTATTTTTGAATCACATTTAGGTGACAGTGATTATATTCAAGTGTGTCCATTATGTTTAAAGGTGACCTTAGGGATGGTGAGAGTTTTAGTTCCTTCCCACAGTAGGGCTGGCCTCTGGCTGTTGCAGTCAAACTTTTACACCTCGCTCCCTTGTGATCAGCAAAATGCCAAGGGACAAAGTGACATTCACAGGCCCTGAGAATGAATCTAATCCACGACCTTCGCCTCATTAGCAGCCTGACCTAACCAATCAGAGAAAAGCCTGCCTTTGATTCTGGTAGCACAGGCTGTGACAGCGACCGAGATGGGCTCCTTGGTGTGGCTCTAAGATGCATCCCTGGTTCCCTTTGAACTGCTTCGTCAATGCAGACATACCAATTTAGGTTGTCTTTCTGACTCTCGGTAGCTCTTTCTGTCTGTAATTAAAATGGCAAAATGTTTGTTATCCACGGACATAAAGTAAACACCAGCAACTTTACAATCTTTATTTGCTTTTTCTCAAGAATATGCCCACAGATTCAGTGCTCACAGATGTGCACTGAAATCTAATATCTACATGTTTAGAATTGTTTAATTTAAAAAATTTAACTATTTGTTTAAAATAATTTCAGATAGACAACAAAGTAATAGAATAGTACAAAGAATTCCAATATACCTTTCACCCAGCCTCCCAAACGTTAACGTGATACATAATATTTATATAATGAGAAAAACCAAGAAATTAACATGATGTGATACTATTAACTAATCTATAGACCTTATTAAAAAATTTCTGAAGGATCACACATTTCATTTAGTTGCCCCAACCTCTTAGTCTCTCCCATTCTGGGACAATTTCTCAGTCTTTCTTGAACTTTTATGACACTTGTGAAAAATAAGAGTTAGTTATTTTGTAAACTTTCCCTCTGTTTGGGTTTGTCTGTGTTTTCCTCATGATCAAATTGATTATGCGTTTTCAGCAAGAATATGACAATAGTGATACTGTGCCCTACTCGGTGCATCTTTGTTTTGTTTTGTTTTTTGAGATGGAGTCTCACTTTGTTGCCCAGACTGGAGTGCTGTGGTGCGATCTCGGCTCACATAACCTCAACCTCCCAGATCCAAGTGATTCTTCTGCCTCAGCATCCTGAGTAGCTGGAACTACAGGCACGTGCCACCACGCCCCGTTAACTTTTGTATTTTTACTAGAGACAGGGTTTCACTCTATTGGCCAGGCTGGTTTTGAACTCCTGACTTCAAGCCTCCCAACTCGGTGCATCTTATCAGGGAGTATGTCGTGTTGATACATGTACCTGCTAGTGACGTGAGCTTTGCTCACTTTGCTAAGGTGGTGTCTGCCACTGTGAAGGTACTATTTTCCCCTTTGCTGTAAATAAGTTGTGGAGAGATCCTTCAAGACTGAATAAACATACTGTTTCTTATCATGCTCATTATCATACTCAAATCTTCAGATTTTTGCAGTTGAAAAATATTAATGGGATCACTGCCTATTATTTTCAAGACATGCTACAAAAATTAGAATGTCAGGGTGAGAATAAAGCATTTTAAGGTGTAAATCCCACTTTGTTATTGTTATGACTGGTCTTTATTTCACTGGTATCAAATTGTAGTTTGTGATCTTTGGCACTTTCTTATGTTCTTTTCTTGGGTGAAAAAATTAAATACGTAGTACATGAACAAAGATGTTTCAAAAATTTACTGAATAACGTTCACATATTCTATATGTCTGGATGCAGTCCTCTGCCTCCCTCCTTTCCCTTCTCCCTTCTTTTATAAACTCACTGAGGCCTCCAGTATGCCAGTCCCAGGTATAAAAAGGTGAGAAAACATAGTCTGACCTCCAGGAGTGCCATGCTACAGGCACCAGGATAGCACATACTTAGAATGGGTGCTGGAGTATTGGTAAACTGAGTTAGGCCTAAGACCCTTTTATCCTGAAAGCACAAAGTGAAAATCGAGGCACAGTTTTACAAAGGATCAAGGTGAAATCAGGATGAGGGTTGGAATCTGAGAAAAGTAGTGCTGTCTATAGGGTACATAGCAAAGCCTTCTATCTTGCCTTTGTGGCTTTTGCTGCTGTATGGTTTCCCCTAAGGGCTAATAGCCATTGGATTCTACAAAAAAGAAAGAAAGAAAAAAAAAACCAAATTAACTGAGCATGAATGTGATCGACTGGGTGTCCCTCCCTCAGAGATAGTGAAAAGTCTACAGCACGGCTGGTTGCTGGGAACCAGAGCAGAGAGAAAGAAGCCAGAAGATGACCCTCTTTGAAGTCTTTAGACCATGATTAGAGACTGGCTCTTCTCTGCTTAGTCCTCAGTCCTTTGGGAAATGGCAGCCCTGAACATAGTTTATACCATTAGAAAGATTAGTGGAAGGGTCTCAGGACCTATAAACCCTGTTGCATTATTAAAGCATGCCAAGTTTTAACCAGTAAATGATGTGTCTTTTCACTGTGATTTAAATAATTTCTCCAAATATCTGGTTTCCCAGAATTTTAAAAATAGATTTGAGGCATCTCTTCATGATTTTTCAGTACATCATGTTATTTTGATTTTTTTTTTTTTTTTACTGTGATAAAACATATAAATGTGTCATTTTTACAAAAACTGAAGAGGTCAATTCATCCTATAAAGTGATTAATCATAAGAGTGATAAAATTATGCCTTCACCAGGTAGATGTGCAGCAACGTCTCTAACAGGGAACTCTTCATGAAGAAAAAACTTGTAGAGTCAGGAAAACATAATTCAGAATATCTGTAAAAAATTAAATAGGATAGTAATTATTTGTTTTAAAAATGGAGATTCTATTTCATTTCCTGAATTTCTTCTGACTGCATAAGAACATAGAAAAATAAACACACCATTCATTTCATTCTACTGAGCTATATACCTGTCAAGTCATTTAGCAGAGTAACAATGCATATTGTTGACCATTTCAGTTTCCTCTGCCCTTTTATTCTAATTTGGGTACCTCCTTCCTCTGTTTTTATTAGAAGACTAAATAGACCTGGATTGGAGATTGAAAAGAGTCATGACGGCCAGTTGAATGACTTCATGGCCAAGGCTTCAGAAGAAAGCTCTGACTTCCTGGGAATCCCATTTCCCCCAGTCCCCTGAATCTCCTTTGAAAAGCAGTTTTTGCTTCATAAGCCATTTCTGAGCACCCCACTTGCTGCCATGGGGGTTAACAGTTGCTAGGTGAGGAGAAGGAGCCATTTTTTCCTAGTGTTCTTACTATGCTGTGTACGTCGTCTCCAATGTGAAGGGTAGCAAACATGGTAGCTAGTCATCATACATTGTGAATCTAGCTCTTTCCAAGTCTCTGGGTAGATCAGCATATTGTTAGTTACTAGAAATCTGATAGCCCTCCTAAGTGTTTATTAATTATTTGTAAATATTATTAAGGCTTCCCTAAATGAACAAAAGGCTCTTTAAAACATGTTTAAATTTAATACAAACCAATCTTTATAGAAATGTTTGATGTAATTCAAATCCACTAATACAATGACATGCCATTTATAAATAAGATACCCATATCAGCTGACGTCTACCTCATTCTCCTCATCTTACCCCTTCCCATCTTCTTCTGCTTTTAATATCCTCTTTAAATATTATTTAAAAAGTATGACTAATTGGGTTGACTAAAAATGTTGCATCTCCCCACCTTGTTTCCTTCAGAAATGTTTGGCTGCACCTTCTCCATTTAATCTGAGCCTGTTACCAAAATAATTTATCAGTTACCAAGTGGGATTATACAAGGTAAGCAGCAAAAGTAGGAAAAAAGGCCAGGCATAGTGGCTTACACCTATAATTCCAGCACTTTGGGAGGCCGAGGTGGGCAGATCACAAGGTCAGGAGTTCAAGACCAGCCTGACCATTATGGTGAAACCCCATCTCTACAAAAAATACAAAAAAAAAAACGCCAAGCCTGGTGGTGCATGCCTATAATCCCAGCTACTCAGGAGGTTGAGGCAAGAGAATTGCTTGAACCCAGGAGGTGGAGGTTGCAGTGAGCTGAGATCACGCCACCACACTCCAGCTTCGGTAACAGAGCGAGACTCTGTCTCAAAAAAAAAAAAAAAAAAAAAAAAAAGAAAAAACTAGGAAAAAAATGGCCCAGATAGAAATGGGAATGTGCTCACCAAATCATAAACAACTGTAGGACTCGTACACCCCCCTTACAACTTCAGTCCATGCTCTTGAGTGAAGGGGGGTGAGGGAGCAGGGGGACAGTATATTTTTGGTGGCAGAAATGAGCTGTCTTCAGGCACACTGAGAACACAGTTTTTACAGCCCTTGGGTGTTATCACAGGGGCTTCCTATGGTGCCCGAAGCGACTGCAAGCAGAGGCTGAGTCTCAGCGGGGCAACAGGGTGCTGTCCTAAATAGCCCCAGAGGAGAGCTGTGGTGGTGGCAACTCTTGCCAGGATTGCTGTGACCCAGCCCTCCTGCGGGGTTGCCCTTTGTAGCCTGCATCTTCCTGCTGGCATCAGCTGCATCTACATTGTTTAAACACACTCCAGTTCTTTCCGTGTTCCAGAACTGCATTGAGTGATATTGTTACCGGAAAAGCGTCTCCATCCAGACCCCAGGAGAGGGTTCTTGGATCTTGCACAAGAAAGAATTTGGGGGCCAGGCACAGTGGCTCACGCCTGTAATCCCAGCACTTTGGGAGACCAAGGCAGGTGGATCGCCTGAGGTCAGGAGTTTGAGACCAGCCTGCCCAACACGGTGAAACCCCATCTCTACTAAAAATACAAAAAATTAGCCGGGAGTGGTGGCGGGCGGCTGTAATCCCAGCTACTTGGGAGACTGAGGCAGGAGAATCGCTTGAACCCGGCAGGCAGAGGTTGCAGTGAGCCAAGATCGCGCCATTGCACTCGAGCCTGGGTGACAAGAGCAAAATTCAGTCTAAAAAAAAAGAAAAAAAGAATTTTGGGTGAGTCCACAGAGGAAAGTGAAAGCAAGTTGATTAAGAAAGTAAAGGAATAAAGAATGGCTACTCCATAGGCAGGGCAGCAGCATGGGCTGCTGGTTGCCCATTTTTATGGTTATTTCTTGATTATATGCTAAACAATGGGGGGATTACTCATGCCTTTCCTTTTTAGACCATATAGGGTAACTTCCTGACATTGCCATAGCATGTGCAACCTGTCACGGCACTGGTGGGAGTGTAGCATTGAGGACGACCAGAGGTCACGCTCACCGCCACTTGGTTTGGGTGGGTTTTATCTGGCTTCTTTATTACAACCTGTTTTATCAGCAAGGTCTTCATGATCTGTATCTTGTGCTGACATCCTATCTCTTCCTGTGACTGAGAATGCCTTAACCTCTTGGGAGAGCAAACCAGTAGGTCTCAGCCTCATTTTACCCAGCTCCTATTCAAGATGGAGTTGCTCTGGTTTAAATGCCTCTGAAGTGTTCATTTGGAGAAATTTACTTACCAGCTAGATACAGTGAAGGTTTCCAATGTAACATAGAGATGGGAGTGAATGGGAAGCCCATAAAGAGGAGGCAAATGCTTTTAAAGTATCCTTGGCACGTAAATTGATACGCAAAGAAAGAGTGAAACAGTGAACTACTGTAAAGTGTCATCCCATGGAAAGCCTTATTAGTGTAGAACTATTCTGATATTTTTCCATAACTGTGCAAAATTAAAAAATGCAAAATGGTACATATACTATAATTATGACTCCAGAGAAAAAACAAACATTTGTGCATATTACCAAGACTGAAAGGAAACACAATAGAATGTTAAAAATGCTATTTCTGCATGGTGGGAATATGGATGAATTTTGTCTTCTTTTCTCCTTTCATTTCCCACATTTTCTATAATAAGCATGCATATCTATTCATAATGAAACATAACAAATAAACTAAGACACACACCCACACACTGAAAAGGTATTTTTAAAAAGAATTTTAAACCACAAACATCCTTATTGCTGGGTTGATATGGAGCCTGAAATTCCCATTTTTGGTTTAAAGTCTTGTCTTTAGGACGATCTCATTTTACAATATAAAATACTACTTAGTAGAAGCAACGTTAATCCATGAACACCTTAGTATAAAAACGTACAAAAAAATATATCTGTTTTTCTAGCCTTGCGGACTGTAGAGAGTATGAATCCAAGGGTGGAATGGAGAAATGCCCAGGTCCTGGAATTTTCAACCTGTGGAGGACACCGCTCTCCAGCTAAATGCCTAAGAGGACAGAGACATTGAAGTGGTTTTTAAGGCAGAGAAAAATGATAAGGGGTTTGGGGTGGCTTAAGGAGAATGAGGCAGGAAGAGTCACAAAACCAAGCCTGCTTTACATCTTGTCTACATCGAATACTGCAGCAAACATACTTGTTCATGCATTTGCACAATTATCTGACTCTTTCTTCAGAATAAACCCCTGAAGATGAGAGCCCTGCGTTAAAGGGTGTGGATAACCTAAGACTTTTGATAGGTGATTTCAGGCACATTCTAAGTGCAAAGTGCTCTCTTTACTATTGCCTATATGCCGGATGGAGAACACCTAGTCCTAAATAATTTCCGTGAGACTTCACATCCAAAGGAAATGCCAGTCAGTACCCAGAACCTCACTGCTGACTCCTTTCTCTGAAAGGTGCCAGTTAAACTCTTCTTTGGCTGAGCGTTAGGACTTTCAGGAGGATTTAAACAGTTGAAGTGATTTTGAAGTCATTTATTCAGAGGAACAGCTGAAGCCATCTTAAGGCCCGCACCTTCACCAGGTTCCAGGCAGCCAGCTCTGGATCTCAGCTTGTATTGCAAAGCAAACCTCTTTGTTTACAGCCGTCCAATACGACTGTCTACTAGGATCAAATTAACCGAAAATAAGCTCTGGAAGGCTGACAGCTTTAATTGTCATTTAATAGACCCGTTTCCTAAACTCCCTAATATCTTGTGTTGACTGTGATTACAGAGGGTCCCATGAGTAAATCTGATTTAAATTGATGCTCAATTTGGCCAGGACTGAAGAAATACTGGGTGGCAATTGTGGAACAAAACTGGGTAAAATTCCTTTCATCTTTTGGTGGTTAAAGTACTTGAACTTTAATACCTAAATACAGCCCATCTGGAATCCTGAAATGAAAGCTTTAATTCTCAGAGAAAGGATTTGAAGGTCTCTTTGTCTTCCACTGAAGGTTTTAAGAGGCAGTCAGCAATTAATAAATGAGATCATCGGCAAAATAAAATTCTTCTTTAAACCGAATTTTAATAGGCTCGTATCTCAACCTGGGCTTAGCGGTGTTTAGGATGAAAGGATGCTGGTTATTTGTATGACCTCTGGGAGATCCAAAATGACTGGGGGGAAAGAAATTACAATCCTTCAGCCATTCATGCTTGGAAAATTACTTTCAATAGGCACATAAATTATCCATGTCTTGCTTTTCTTTTGGGGAATATTCAGAAATTACCAGAAAGCATATAATGGATCAATATTTGCTGCACTGGTTATCTTTTTTATTTTTTTTGTTTCTCTTTCCCCCAAGTTCTCTGTTAGGGTCATTGCATTGCTGTCAGTTAAAAATGTCTGAATAGCTCGTCTTCACACGAGGTATTGCTCTGCTTTTCCAGAGCTATCTGCTGTGACAGATGCAGGGTATACTTTTAACTGCATGTGGTTCTCATTAAATCTTCACATGAGATTGAGGCCTGCCACATAAATTGGCGGAGCTTCTCTTAAGGATTATGAATCACTTGAGGATTATGTCCTTTTTATCGCTGTAGTCTAAAGGCAAGTT